TGCTTCACAGTGCTTTATAGCCCTCTCTAAGCGATTTACAAAGTCAGCATATTGCCTCCAACAATCTGGGTCCTCATTTTACCGACCTGGGAAGAATCAAAGTAGCCAAGAAAGAATCAGGTATATCACTATGATGGGATGTAAAATAAAATAATTGCCATGATTTTTAATATGCACTTATTTATATTTATTTATTGATTGATTAATCAAATTTATACCCATCTCCCCCAAATTCGCCTTCTCTGCCAAATCTAATGGGATGGCAGATGTAACTGGGGAGAGATGTTTGCTCATATAACCCAGTTTCATACTATGAAGGGCTTTAAAGGACTTTAAATTAAACTTAAATTGGACCCCAGAAGCAAGCTGACAACTAATGCAGCGTGTGTAACAGTATAGTGCTGAAATCAATATAGAGGTTTAAACAATATAGAGATGTAAACGATATAAAAGTATAATGCTGTGATTAAACGCTTGTCAGACCGTTCCGTTTTTCCAGCCACCTTGATGTCTACTGCTTGTTTTCTGTGGAGACCAGGGGTTGGTAAGGACACTGACAGAAAGTTTGCGCTCCTCTTTGTTTTGTTCCCACCCATTACCCTGTGCTCCGTTCAGGGAATGGCTGAGGATACACAGGAAATGGTGCCTGTGGGTGAGCCAGCTGGGGGAGAACCAGCTGAGGTGGCAGCGCCAACTCCAGATGCAGGAAATGAAGATGTCCAGCCTGTGCGTGAGGCCCGGCCTGCAGGTCCGGTGAGCGACACACAGCCGGTTCCAGGGATAATGCAGGATACAGGAGCCTCAGGAGAGTGCTCTTCAAGGAGAAAAAGGACGGGTCCCTGTGCCTGTGTGTGGACTTATGCGGCATCAGTGGGGTTTGTGTGGAGAATGTACCTCCTACCGCTAATGAGGGACCTATTGGCCCAATTGGCGAAGGATAGGATGTTCACTAAACTTGACCTCCGGGAGGCGTATTACAGGGTCCGAGTTAAACGGAGGGACGAGTGGAAGACAGCGTTCAATTGCCCACTTGGAAGTTACCAGTTCCGGGTGATGACTTTCGGCTTGCAGGGAGCACCTGTGGTATTTATGCAGCTCATCAATGAGGTATTGCATGAGCACCTATACCGTGGGGTGCTCGTGTATTTGGACGATATACTGATCTATGCCTCCAACATGACAGAACACCTCTGACTGGTAAGACAGGTGCTGGATAAACTGCTGAGGGCACACCTGTATGTGAAGCTGTCCAAGTGCGAGTTCCACCAAACCCGGTTGGACTACTTAGGGTACTGGATATCGGGGGAAGGGATGGAGATGGACCCTGCAAAGGTCAGCGCTGTGCTAGAGTGGCAGGCACCAGGGACCCGCTGTCAGCTACAGAGCTTCCTGGGATTCGCAAATTTCTACTGGCAGTTCATCTCCTTGTTTGCTATGGTGGCCCTACCCCTAACGGACCTGCTCTGCACAAGATATACAGTGGGTAGGCCACGCCCCGGTCAACCACTGGCGGGGACGCTGGTCTGTCAGAGGGCCTTTGAGGACCTAAGGCTCTCTTCGCAAGGGAGCTGGTCTTGCTACATCCTAACCCTGACCTGCCATTTGTCGTACAAGCTGATGCCAGTGACGTCGCAGTCAGGGTTTTGCTCCAGAAGAACGGGCAAGGGACGCTACAGCCCTGTGCTTACACCTCCCATAAGCTGACAGACACAGATGCCAGGGATAGTCCTACCTGACCAGTGACCACAGGCAGAGCCACTGAACAGCTGAGCAGCCGTGCGTCCAACAAGCAGCTGATCGGCACAGGAGCGGCAGCCGGCAATGTGAACTGAACCACAGAACAGAGAAGAGGGCCAGAGGCCTGCGACACTGTTCTTAACTGTAGCCACCGGATGCTGGCTAGGCAGGTGGGGGGTGGAGCTGGGGGGGAGGACTGTATGTAAGGCGCTGGGAGGAAATCACTCCCAGCGCTAACTTTGTTTTGCTGTGATTAAACGCTGGTCAGGCTGTTCCATTTTTCCAGCCACCTTGTCTACTGCTTGTTTCCTGTGGGAACCAGAGGTTGGTAAGGATACTGACAGAGAGAAGTTAGAAAGTCTGATGGAACTTTTTTTTTTTACCGATAGTCCCACAAACATACAGCAAAGACTGAGAAGTGAATGGAGAATGGAATGCAGCTGAAAGGCAGGTTAGTAAAAAAAATGCTTGGGGGAGGTGAGGGCATCTGGGTGGGGATGGGCATGGCAACCTTACCCTGCACGGCTTCGGCAGGTGTCTGGCAGGGGAGGGAAGCAACTGGTCTACTACCATGCTAGCGCTGTCGCGTTGCTTCACCCCATGCACAGGCCCCGCCCCACCCCTCGCGTGGAGCGTCCTGCTCCCGCCACTCCGCTCCACCCCCACGCAGCACCTTTCCAGCTCCAATGTGTCACTTCCTCCACCAATGTGTGGGACTAAAAATAAAGTTCAGTCAATCTTTTTTTCCCCGCAAGAAGTTGAAATTGATTGATTGGTTGAACCTTTTTTTTGCATACGGTGATAGAGGCCTAAAGCGAAAATGTTTTATAAAACCCAGCTGAAGGCCTAGGACTGGGGTGACGGCGCACATGCCCACAGAGAGGACTCGGCGTGCCGCCTCTGGCACCCATGCCATAGGTTCGCCACCAGAGGTCTAGGCCATCTAAAGCACTGAAATGCAGCATCATTTATATGAAAAAAGTACAAACAAGATTACACACAAAAAGACATTGTAGCCCAACCTACCAAAAACATAACTGTAAAAGACAGACACGAAATACAAATTAAAATAAGCAAGAAAATGGTAAGAGATGAATATAAATCACCGGGAACTGATGGATTACACTTCAGAGTTCTGAAGGAGCTGGCAGATGTTATCTCAGAACCATTGCACCATATCTTTTAAAAATCCTGGAGCACTGGGGAATTATCAGAGGATTGGAAAAGAGCTGATGTTCCAATCATCAAAAAAAGGAAAAAAAACCAGACCCAGCCAGACTAACATCAATATCTGGGAAGATATTGGAAAAAAAACAACCAGATCTGTGAACATCTAGAAACAAATAAAGTTACAACTAGTAGCCTGTTTATTAAAAACAGATCATGCCAAATCAATTTTATTTCATTCTTTGACAAAGTGACTAAATTAGTAGAGCAAGGAAATACTGAGGACATAGTATATTTGGACTTCAACAAGGCATTCAACAAAGTAGACCGCAACCTACTTCTTGGTAAACTAGAAAAATGTGGGATAGATAGCATCACCACCAGATGGATTTGTAACTGGCTGATAAACCGTACTCAACGGGTAGTACTTAATGGTACTACATCAGCAAGGAGGGAAATAAGCAGTGGGGTACCACAAGGTTCTGTCTTAGGTCTAATATCTTCATAAATGACTTAGATGAGGGAATAGAAGGGGAACTCATGAAATTTGCAGATGACACTAAGCTGGCAGGAATAGCTAATACGCCAGAAGACAAGCTCAGGATCCAAAAAGATCTTGACAGACTTGAACAATGGGCCCTATAAAACAACATGAAATTTAATGTGGAGAAAAGCAAGGTTTTACACTTAGGCAGGAAAAATCAAAGGTACAAGTACAGATTACGCGAAATCTGGCTCAAAAACACTAACTGTGAGAGGGACCTTGGAGTCCTAGTGGACGATCACTTAAACATGAGCCAGCAGTGTGCAGCAGCAACCAAAAAATCTAATACAATCCTTGGTTGTATAAACAGAGGCATAGAATCAAAATCATGTGAAGTATTAGTACCACTTCATAAAGCCTTAGTAAGGCCACACATGGAATACTGCATCCAGTTTTGGTCACCACATTACAAAAAAGATGTTGAGACTTTGGAAAAAGTGCATAGAAGAGCAAACTACGACGATTAAGGGCCTGGAGACAAATATATCAAGAACGGTTGCAGTAATTGGGTATGGCTATTTGAGGAGCTGCCACAAAGAAGAGGGGTCAACCTATTCTCCAAAGCACCAGAAGGCAGAACAAGAAACAATGGATGGAAACTAATCGAAGAGAGAAGCAACCTAGAACTAAGGAGAAACTTCCTGACAGTGAGGACAATTAACCAGTGGAACAGCTTGCCTTCAGAGGTTGTGGGTGCTTCATCATTGGAGATTTTTAAGACTGGACAGCCACCTATCTGAAAGGGTATAGGATCTTCTGCTTGAGCAGGGGTTTGGACTAGAAGACCTCCAAGATCCCTCCCAGCTCTATTCTGATTAAACTTCTTGTATTTATTACAAGTGTGAAACATTAATGTATTATTGTGAGGAGTTTCCTGCTGCATTTGTCAGTTTCTCAAGGAAACTGGCAAAGAGAGGGGCAGCTTAAACAATCCTGTGTGTAATGTAATCAATTCTAACTTTTGGTGAATTGTTTCTACATAGTTTGATCAATTCCTGGCTGATCTAGTCTTGAAAATACTATTAGAGGCCTTTTCCTATGAAACGGTGTTCCTTACCTGTAGAAGTTATAGCAGGGGTCTTCAAACTTGGCCCTTTTATGACTTGTGGACTTCAACTCCCAGAATTCCTCAGCCAGCGTGCCTGGCTGAGGAATTCTGGGAGTTGAAGTCCACAAGTCATAAAAGGGCCAAGTTTGAAGACCCCTGACATAGCTTTTGCTGCTGCATCTCTAGGATTTAAAGGGGGAACCTTTCCTATTGGAAGGATCCCATTATTTTATATTCTTCATTATTTTATATTTTTAAGCTGTCATCAAGCCATCATCTTTTTCACATCACATCCTGACTCCAGTGGCCCTCATCTATTCAAACAAGATCTCAGACAATCTAGGATTTGATTGCTGACCAGCGAGAGGAAAAGTTAAGAAAATCATATGCCTAGTAGATATGCTAGGATTACAGTGTGCAAAGGCAGAAATAATTTATCCTTCTCTGTACATAAGGCCCAATATTATGAGATATTTCTAGGGGATTAGATTGGAAGCCATATACCTTCAAGCTATCTTTGGACTTGTGAATTCATCAGGTTTGCTGCATATCCAGTGATGGACTGTACGGCACATGGAACTGCTTGCTTTGCCTTCGTCATTCAGAAAGGCGCAGTTCCCTCCATCACCGAGGACCGTCCACCTGCAACACAAGGGCAACAAGGGTGAAGAGCTTCGACCTAGAACAGGGGTAGTCAACCTTGGCTCTTTTATGACTCGTGGACTTCAACTCCCAGAATTCCTATTCTGGGAGTTGAAGTCCACGAGTCATAAAAGAGCCAAGGTTGACTACCCCTGACCTAGAAGAAACTTTTTGGATAAGAAGTGAAATGTTTTCAAGGAAAAAACTCAAGAAGTCCAGTTGCCTTTTGAAAAGCACTTTTGGAGTCACAGTCTCCCCTTTTCTAGCCTGCTGCCTTAATTGCTACACCAAACTGACTCTTCACAGCTGCTCCTCTAACACATGAGGCAAGTAGGGCTGAGAGAGGATCTGGCCCAAAGTCACCAAGAGATCTTCCATGATTCAGAGGGGACTCCACTGTCTTAGTAGACAACTTTACCATCAAACCACACTGTCTCTGGGGCTGAGAAAGGAGGACCAGCCCATAATCTCCAGGGACCTTTTGTGGCTGAAAGGCCACCTAAACTGGGTTTGTCTAGGCCAGGGGTAGGCAACCTTGGCTCTTTTATGACTCGTGGACTTCAACCCCCAGAATTCCTGAGCCAGCATGGATCAGCTTGGAAACCTCTCCCTTTCCCCTCAGCATGGCTGGCTCAGGAATTCTGGGAGTTGAAGTCCACGAGTCATAAAAGAGCCAAGGTTGCCTACCCCTGGTCTAGTCCAACAACTTAACCACTGCACCATATTGGCTTGCTTCCATTCTCCAAATTCCACAGTTTTAGACACAAAGTTGGCATTCACGAAAATATGCAGTGCATTTGTGCTCGATGCAAGAAACAGGATGGCACCGGATGATCAATAAACCGCATGCCATTTTTCAGCATTCGGCTGGTGTAGAGTTCAGTTATTTAATTAATTAATGAAATGTATATGCCGCCCACCTCACTACTCCTCAAGTGAAGACATAAGAGAGAAAGGATGACTCACGTTGAAGGATTTCCATTGATCCATTTCCAGGCTTGATCTGGGTCTCGTCTGAGGCCAATCCAGTGGGGAGTGCTGCCTTTGTAACGCTGCACAAAATCCTTTTGAGAGAATAAATGGTAAACATTAAACCACTCTGAAATATTTATAGACTGCCAAGTGTACATATGTTTTAACCTTTTACTCATTTCCTCAATAATCAAATTACAAATATTAAGATTGGCTGATAGCTCCATAATATTATTTATTATATTACATAGGAGTTCATACAAGCATACAAAGGCTGCCTGCCCCATTTTTTTAAAAAAACAACAACCCTTTAAGGCAGGTGGGAGATTTTCTCCAGGTCACTGGCTCAAGATGGACTTGAACTTGGATCTCACTGCTCTTTCTATTCAAAATACCTTAAGCACACTTTCACTCTGGCAAATTAAGGATATGTTCTTTGTTATTATATGTTTTTCTCTGCACATGATCAGAAAGAAATAGATAAGCTTTCATATTTTTCAAGAATATAAATTAAGGCTTTGCATAGCTGTAGATTCTATTTCCCTAAAGCATATCAGAACATAAATTCAGCACATCTTCAGCTCCTTAAGCCAGCTCCTGCCCCAGCATCCCAGAAAAATAAGCAACTGTTTTAAATAGCTGCAGAGAACTGCTGCATTCACACCCTGTGTGCTTCAAAGCTCCTTTTTGGAGTCAAATCAGAGCACTAACCAGCCCTAATACACATGATCTTATGTTATGATAACATTTTATTAGAGGATGCCCGGAGGCAAAAATAAATATGCTCTTTCCTCCCACTTCTTTTCCTTGAAGGATTAAAAGGATCACACCCAGGAGATAAGGGAGCTGTTCCCTTTAATAAAAAGATGTGGCTATTTCAATAAGGAGAGGCTGGCAGGTTTAATGAACTCAGTTCTAGAATTCTGAACAACAACAACAAAAAAACATTAAAGGAGAATAAAGCTGGAAAAAGGAAATCTGAAAAAAAACACAAGTCTGTAAGGAGAGATAGAGCTAAGTCCAAAGACCCTGTAGGAGAGAGGAACCTGTAGCTGGTGTGTATGTGTTTGTGTGTATTTGTGCTATGCCCTGCTGCTGAACAATTCCTCTTTAGCAGAAGGGGGGGTGGGGAGAGGAACAGTCCATAGATAGAAGTTGAATTGCAGCAGCCAAAGCTGAGAGAAAGAGAGATCAAGTGGGTAGGGTCAAGTAAGGTCATGGGAAAGTTCTCAGTAGGTTGCAGGGTAGCAGCACCAGAGCAGTTCCACTAGGACAGGGGTATAGGCAACCCTGGCTCTTTTATGACTTGTGGACTTCAACTCCCAGAATTCCTGAGCCAGCATGGCTCAGCTTGGAAACCTCTCCCTTTCCCCTCAGCATGGCTGGCTCAGGAATTCTGGGAGTTGAAGTTCACGAGTCATGAAAGAGCCAAGGTTGCCTACCCCTGCACTAGGATGATGCTCAGGTCCAACTGAGTCAACCCAAAATGAAGAGAGAGAGAAGAGAAGGAAGAAGTAGATAGTGGTGGGCAGTGCTGGAACAACGACATAGTTAAGGCAAAGCTGAAGCTTGACTAGAATAAAAATCAGGTAGGTAAGATTTAGGAAGATAGTAAAACAGAAGTCAGACTCGAGGTAAATAAAGGAAATAGAATAACAAGGCTACTTCAAAGTAGCCTATAGAAATACAGGTGATCCTCACTTAGTGGCCACAATTGGGACTGGCAATTCTGTTGCTAAGTGGCACACTCGTAAAGTCAGAGATCACATGATCGTGAGGACCTCACTTTTGCCTTGGCTTTTGAGAGAATCACCTGTGGTCATTTAGTGCAGCATCATATGACCACAACTTGGCAATTTTACTCCCAGCTTCTCCGTTAACTCTGCTTGTCAGAAGTCTGCTGTGTAACGCGAAAATGGCGATCATGTGATTGTAGGGTGCTCGACCATCATAAACTCCCACAGGTTCCAAAGCATCCAGATTTAAACCATACGACCACGTGGGTGTTGCACGAGTTGTAAATGTGTGAACTGTCTTCATAAAGTTACTTTTTCAATCGTATCACAACTTTGAAAGGTCACTAAACAGGGCAATCATTCAGCAAGATCCACCTGTAGTAGACATAGGCTAAAGAGACCGGCCATAAATTAGAAAGCAATAGATGGTCTTCCTTAATGAAAACCAACATATTTTATAAAATCAATTCCCCGCAAGTAGAATTGATGTGGGTGGACCCTACATGAAAGCAGGACCATCCTGAATCTCTCACCGATACAGTAGGATATTTTCACCTCTTACCAGTTCTTCCTTTTCAATAATGGCCAGAGAGGCATTGTACAAAGAGCAAAAGTCTTGACTAGCAGTCCAGTTTTTTTCTTCATCTGAGAAGTAGAAACATTTCATCTGGTGTCCAATCCAGGCAGGCAGGCACGGGCGTTTCCCATGCTGAGAGGCTGCCGACAGCAATTTACATTCTTCTGTGCTTAAGGTTGCCTTATTTACGGAGGATACTAAGGGGAAGAAAAGATTATTATCTAAGAAACGCCCTCCTCAGTTAATTAGTCACAAATGTGCATGAGGAATACAACTAGTTCATTAAACATGACCCTAATGAAGTCTGCAATTTCTGATGTAAGTCAGAAGTCTGAGGTAAGTCTGATGTAAGTCAGTAGGTCATAAGCTGAGGCATCGTATGATTAACCTGAGCTTACAACCTTTTTTGCAACAGTTGTTAAGTGAATGTGGTGGTCATAAAGCAAGGTCGTAAAGCAAATCCATTTTCCTCAATGAGCATTTGAGGGTTTTTTTTACCAGAAACATTGTGAACATTGGTTTCCAGCAAAAAAAACCTTGTAAATTGTAGTCACGTGACTGCAGGGCATTGCAAAGGGATACAAATACAAACCAATTGCTGGCCGCCCAAAATGCAGTCATGAGACCTAGGGGGAGCAGCCACTGTAACTTCGAATCCGAGTCGTACTTAGCCCTTGGGAGGTCTGTCATAACTTCAAATGGTTGCTAAACAACCGGTCATAAGTCAAAGACTACCTGTAGTAAGGAAAAGCTGGAAATCTGCACTTCTAGAGCAGAAATATGCAGGCTCTCATTGGCTAAGCAGCATACTGATCTTTTGGAACGGGATTAAAAGCTGCAATGGATAGTAAGATGATGGAAAACTATCAGATCATGTCTCATAGATGGAAAAGGCAGGACCTTCCTTCTCTTGTTTCTATCTCCTTTGGAATGGAGAAGGAAGGAGAATTTTTGATTTTTTTTAAATAAGGTCTTGCACTTCCTGTCACAGAATTGGGGTGGGGGCAATGCCAGCATTCTCAGCATTTGTGAACTGCAAGCACACTGTAAGGCTGGATCTGGATGGGGCCTGTCAATCTCTTGTTCTCCCTCCTTCCCTCTGGAGGCTTCTTCAACAGGCTTGCTGTTGTGCAAGTGAAATAAGGGAGGGAGAGACCCCTATGCATTGATTTATCTGTTAGATTTATTTGCCCCTTTTCCTTTAACCAGTTATGGTCCCATTTCTCTCCACAATAACCCTGTGAGGTAGGCTGGACTGGGAGAGAAGGCAAAAGGCCCAAAACCATCCAAGGAGTTTCTGTGGCTGAGGGAGGATTACAACCTGGGTCTCCCCCAGGGCCAGTGCATCTCTTCACTATCCTGGTTGCTGCCATCCCCCAGAAAGGGGAAAAAAGGATAGGAATGAAAAAAAACCCTCACTAAAAATGAAAGCATTATTGAGCATGCAATAGTAGAGTCTGGATAACTTACCAATGCAAAATACAAGAACAGCAGAAGCAAGAGCAGCAGCAACAGCAGTGACAACATGACCACGGTAGACGATGCAAACATTCACCATGCTTGAATATCTGTGGTTCTGTAAATTATCTAGAGCAGGGAGGAAAAACTAAACCTTAAACGAACAAGGATTCCAATGACAGATTAAGAGGATGCTGTGGTACTTAAGTAAGAAAGCTCAACTCGTATTGAGGGGGAGTTAGGATCAATTTTCTTTTCCAAAGGTCAGAGAGAAAAGCTTCCTCAGCCAGGAGAAAGAAAAAGATTGACTCAGCCTCAGAATTTTTTTTAGCATGTCATAATAATAATAATAATGATAATAATGATGATAGTAATACCAATACCAATACCAATAACAACAACAACAACAACAACAACAACAACAACAACAACAATAATAATAATAATAATAATAATAATAATAATAATAATAATAATAATAATAAGTTGGAAGGGACTTGGAGATTATCTAGTCCAACCCCCTGCTCAGGCACGAAACCCTATACCATTTTGGACAAATGGCTGTCCAGTTTCTTCTTAAAAACTTCCAGTGTTGGCTCATTCACCGCTTCTGGAGGCAGGTTGTTCCACTGGTTAATTGTTCTAACTGTCAGGAAGTTTCTCCTTAGTTCTAGGTTGCTTCTCTCCTTGATTAGTTTCCATCCGTTGCTTCTTGTCCTGCCTTCAGGTGCTTTGGAAAATAGCTTNACTCCCTCTTCTTTGTGGCAGCCCCTGAGATATTGGAACACTGCTATCATGTCCCCCCTCCTCCTTCTCTTCATTAAACTAGACATATCCAATTCCAGCAACCGTTCCTTATATGCTTTACCCTCCAGTCCCCTAATCATCTTTGTTGCTCTTCTCTGTACTCTTTCTAGTCTCAACATCTTTTTTACATCGTGGTGACCAAAACTGGATGCAGTATTGCAAGTGTGAAATAAATACCACTGCTTTATCAAGGCATTGTAAAGTGGTATTAACACTTCACGTGATCTTGATTCTATCCCTCTGTTAATGCAGCCTAGCACTGTGTTGGCCTTTTTGGCATATTTAGGCGATTGTCCACTAGGACTCCGAGGTCCCTCTCACAGGTTTTCCTGTTTTGAGCCTTTCTCTGGAGTGAAATGATAAATGATATCTTCCACCTGGCTCACTGCACAGAGAATAATGTTCTTCTTTGATGGTACTTGGGAATTGCTGGTCTGAATTGTTTGTTTCAGCTTAACTTTAGTTGCATCTCTATGGCCATTAAAGAAGATGCATTCTATTTCACCCTTCTTATAGAGCTCATCAATTTTCTTGCTCTAAGGACTTCATAATTTTTTCCTGGACTCTCTTGACTTTATTGTGGTCAACTACAAGTCTCTTGTCTTCTTCGGTGATTAAGCCAGCATCTATGAAGGCGGCTGTGGTAATGGCAGCAGTGGCACGTAGACCAACATCGTATCTTATGCTCTGCATAATGACATTGGTTATTTCTAATCTATTGTATTCTGTCTTTTCTTTTGAAGTAGAGGACACGTGTGTTTGATCTAAAGTCTCTTCATAACTTCCATCCCATTCATCTTCCTCTTCATCATCAGTCGTCTTTCCTTCATTTTTATCATAAGAGATAATTGCTTCATTTGTCAGTATTGAAATGTCTAGAATACTTCTCTCCTTATATTTAGCAAGCCTCATCATCTTGCCATTTTTTCCTTTTGACTAGTTGTTTCTGCTCGGGCACATCTAGTGAGATTCAAAAAGACATATCTTCTCTCTCTGACCTTTAACAAAATCAGATTTTTTGGGGGTGGTCCAGATTTATGAGGGTGGTACAGTAATGTCAAATCCTTTTTTGCTGCCAACAGGACAGCTAACTTTGGCACACAGCAATTTGAAACTGTCAGCTGAGGATTGTAAATAGTGTGTAACTTTGATGGTAACATCTAGCTTTCCTCTGCTAAGAGATATATTTTGACTTGATACCAGCTCTCCTGGATCTTATTTCAGATTGTCACTCGTGAAATTACAACATGGGTCACAAAATAACTGTTCGCTCATTCCCACTTTTCAAGCACTTCTGGATATATGTCTCTTGCAAGACTGGCAGCTGGGTGGTTTCTAGTAGTTATCTACCAAGCACATCTAAATTATATTAAAGTAACCAAAATACCTTTACAATCCCCAAGGTGTGCCACAACTTTTGAGCACCCCTAATGTTTGGAAATTGAAAGTTGAAAAATTGGACACGGCCTATCGCTAACACAGTTTGCCAACATTGTAAACTGCTCAGAGTGCTGCAAATTACGCTTAGGAACGGATAACTATGATAGTGACTTTGCAGGTCCAGTGAATAACAGCTGTTATCCATTGTTTCCAAACAGCAAAGATGGTAAAGTTCCTCCAAAACATTTAAATATTTAAAAGCTATCCTTTGCTCTGTGCAGGTGTGTTTTTTTTTAAATTTTCTAGCAACATCTGTGACTTACATGCCCCTGACTGAAGATAGCTCTCTCCCTGCCCTGGGGTTATACTTCATTCATATAGCATCCCTGATTTTCACTGGCCTGGATCGGCACCAGACAGCCACGATCATCACCTTTCTGTAGCTCTACACATGAATGCATGAAAGGGCATGGAGGGATAAGAGATTCATCTTCTCCAAAGCATGATAGAGATTTCTTGTGTGGTTCACAGCCTTCAGCCTGGCTCTGGATCAATTATAGTTAGTCCTCTACTTACAACCATTTGTTTAGCAACCATTCATGATGGTTGCAGCATCCCTGTGGTCACATGATCAAAATTCAGACCCTTGGCAGCTGGCTCATATTTATGACGGTTGTAGCGTCCCATGGTCATGTGATCAAAACTTGAGACCTTCTGACAAGCAAAGTCAATGGGGAAGCCAGATTCACTTAACAACTGTGCTACTAGGCAAACCAAGAGATTCACTTAACAACTGTGGCAAGAAAGGTTGTAAAATGGTGCAAAACTCACTTAACTGTCTTGCTTAGTGTGAGAAATCTTGGGCTCAGCTGTGATCGTACGTCAAGGACTCCCTGTATGCAAAGAAACCATAGCAATCTGAGAAAGAAAAACCATCAATTTCTTCAGAAATGTATTTCACAATCTGGACAAACAAATATACATCAATTTGGTTTTTTGTTTTTTTTTAAAATGTGATTGTACAGGAAGAAATGGAGGCAGTGACAGATTTTATCTTCCTGGGCTCCAAGGTCACCGCAGATGGGGATTGCAGCCAAGAAATTAAAAGACGCTTGCTCCTGGGGAGGAAAGCTATGGCAAATTTAGACAGCATACTAAAAAGCAGAGACATCACCCTGCCAACAAAAGTACGTATAGTCAAGACCATGGTTTTCCCAGTTGCAACGTATGGCTGTGAAAGTTGGACCATAAGAAAGGCTGAGCACCAAAGAATTGAGGCCTTTGAACTATGGTGCTGGAGAAGACTCCTGCGAATCCCCTGGACTGCAAGGCGATCAAACCGGTCAGTCCTACAGGAGATCAACCCTGGACTGCTCTTTAGAAGGCCAGATTCTGAAGTTGAAACTCAAGTACTTTGGCCACCTAATGAGAAGGAAGGACTCACTGGAGAAGAGCCTAATGCTGGGAAAGATTGAGGGCAATAGAAGAAGGGGACGACAGAGAATGAGGTGGCTGGATGGAGTCACTGAAGCAGTAGGCGTGAGTTTAAATGGACTCCAGAAGATGGTAGAGGACAGGAAGGCCTGGAGGAACGTTGTCCATGGGGTTGCGATGGGTCGGACACAACCGCAACTAACAACAACAGGAACAGCGGTTTGATAGAAGGCGTCGGAACATAAACGCAACAGTTACGAGATTTTATTTATGTTATTTTATTTTATTTTATTTTATTCATCAAATGTATATGCCGCTCATCTCACAGTTTGAGGCAACTCTGAGGGGCTTACAACATAATAAAACATATGGATACAAGGACAACTTTGAATAGAAAAACAGATTAAAATTACAAAAGATTAAAACAAATTAAAGAAAACACAGGGTTGCAAAGGGGAGGTGATCGTGGCTCCTCTGTTACTGCAGCAGCCACCTCCAGCCAACAGCTTTTCCTTCTGTGGAAAGGAAAATGTTTATCTTGCTAATTGGTTTAACAAGTGTCAGCTGTGTTATGTGTCTTGTTACGTTTTGTTACATTCTTGCGCTAGACTGCAGTCTTTGCACTTGGGCTAGATCAGGGGTAGGCAACCTTGGCCCTTTTATGACTCGTGGACTTCAACTCCCAAAATTCCTGAGCCAGCCATGCTGAGGGGAAAGGGAGAGGTTTCCAAGCTGAGCTATGCTGGCTCAGGAATTCTGGGAGTTGAAGTCCATGAGTCATAAAAGAGCCGAGGTTGCCTACCCTTGGGCTAGCCTGAGGTTGTAAGCTCTGGAAATGAGTCAGGTAAGGTTTGTGTGCTATTTTTAAAAAGGATTAAACTGTTGTGATTTAATTATTTTGCGATTTAATTATTTTTCCTGCCTCGAGGTTTCTTCTTCTATCTGGGGATGGGGGGAGGCCTTCCTTCAATTCCCCCATTTTGTACTATTACTGATGATTCAGTAATTAGTACAACAAGTGTAAACTTGATAGCGGCTGTCAATTTGATTCATCATTAGGGAAACCTTTGCTGGTTCTTGTAATGCAGTTTCTTTGATATTTAAAGCAGGGGTCTTCAAACTTGGCCCTTTTCTGACTTGCGGACTTCAACTCCCAGAATTCCTCAGCCAGGAATTCTGGGAGTTGAAGTCCGCAAGTCATAAAAGGGCCAAGTTTGAAGACCCCTGATTTAAAGCATAGCCCTATGCACTGGCAGAAACAGCAAATAATGAGCCCCACCATTGTGACTGTGACTATAGTTCCAATGAGGATTTTTTGCCAATGAATGTCTGGGAGCCATGAAAAAAGTCATGATAAGTCCCAGGAACGTTGGTTATGCCCAATGTCTTGTGCTAGTTCTTTTAGGTGTTTGATATCTTGCTCAATTAGGC